GCCCCATTGGCATGCCTCACAGACCCGCAGGTGGGGATAGAAAGGGGGTGGCGTGGCGGATCCTGAATTGAAAACCAATGATGATAACAGAATAGACAGGAAAGAACAGACGCCAACCCAATCCGCCAGCGCCACTTATAAGGCAATGGCGCTGGGAAGATGGGTGGCAGAACCTGGCAGCTACAATCACCGCTAACTGAGGAGGATCCAAGTTCTTGGCCTCCGTTTGTACCTCAGAGCAGCAGTCTGTCCTCAGGGCGCATCTGCCGGTCACAGTTGAGGTGGCACCAGGTGCTCAGAGCATCAAGAAAAGACCCCTGACCCATGCATGCCATGTCCGTGGGCAGTAGGGACAGAAAGAGATGTTTAACATAGACTAGGGTCCTATTCGGAATTTCAGATGGCTAGCCCCATGGAGATCAACTTGTTTCGAAACCAAGTCTCCCCTATAGATTTCGGAAGGCTGCCGCCCGAAACTCAGCCCTAAACAATTCTTGTAGGCCTACTCACAGATGTCGCCAGAAACCCCAACATAGGACCTCCATGTCCACAAAATTAACAGAAATAGTAAAATTGACACACAAGCAGGCAGTTAGGGCGTGGGCTGCAACAGATCAGATAACAGATAACAAACCTGTTGCTCAACTGTTCAGTCACCCAGCCCATTCCAATCCTCCAGGCTTAACAGACATTAGACAGGACAAACCTCGAGGCAAAGAAATGGTACCCCAAACCAAAATTACAAACAACCCTTGGACTTTCGTCCAGGGCGGAACCCAAGGGTTCCAGAAATACATCTATTCTGGGCACGTCCACTTTCCCTGTGGTTCAATTCAAATAACCCTTGGACTTTCATCCAGGGCGGGACTTCAGGGTCTCGAAATACGTCTATTTTCCCCTGAAGTCCAAATTACAAATCACGAGACCTGTGCAGGCTCAGATCAACAAAACAGCAAATTCAAGTGGCACCAAACCAACAAAAACAAGCAAACATATAACATTGAACATATAAGTTGTGAGCTCTAATCATCTTACCTCCAAGATCGAATCCATTCATGTGTGAGGTGTGGTCGCAAATCCCAGACGAGCCCCCAAATGTTAGACACCCCCCCCCTCCCCGGAAAACTCAGGTGTCCGGGGTCCCAGGCCACGACTGCGGTCACCCCAATCACCAGGCAGATTCGAGAGCTTGCTGCAAACTGCACGAGGCTTCATTGTAATTTAATGCGCTAACCCCATGTTAGCTCGGGTCTTTCACCCTCCCGCCATGGCGGATGGCTAGCAAAGACAGCTCCAACTGACTGCAGAGCGATCTTGTAGGGCAGCTTAAGGGGCGTGTCTAGGGGTAAGCACAGGCTCACGATTGGTGTGCCTCAAGGCTGGGAGGGCTTGCCCTTT